GTCTAATGCCAGTAAAACATATATTGAGATTTCCCACAATTGTTTTTTTATCACAAAATGGCAACTTTTACTCCAAACACTGTATGTAATTGAAAAGGTTCCTGACCTTGTGTGACACCCTGAGCTATTACCCCTGTGACACGCAAAATAGAATGTTAATATTCTCACTCAAATCAACACAAAGATTGTTGCATTTGAAAATTCAATGACTTATAACACTTACTAGTGGGGGGTTTCTCAGTAACAGTTATGTGCACTGGCATCTGTAAGTCTCCTTTAACACACCAATACCAGCCGCTGCTCTCTGCCCTCAGTCCGCTCAGAGTCACATTGAGAACACCATCGTTGCGTGCACTGATGTCGACTCTTGTTCCATCTATTAATCCAGACTTTGTCACACAGGAGCCGCCGAGCCTGCACCACTTCCTTTCTCCAGAGTTTTGATAGTGACACTTGATGTTTATGTTATCTCCTTTAAATCCTGTAATCTCTTGCTGAGCCACGTAGAGACTGGGTGTACCTTAATGGAGAACATCGTTCATTGAAACTCGTGAGCAGCGTCGTTAGTACATGCCGCTGATGTTTCAAATATGTTTGGCATATGTTTATATCTGGTGAATACATTATTTGAGAAAAATAGGTAATTGTAATATTAAAGTGTTGATATGTCACAAAATATTTGAAAAGGTGTAATTTGGCTCTTACCTCCAGTGACTGACAGGTGGAAATACTCTTTGACATCTGCTCCATCATTAATCTCCACAGCACACCAGTAATAATTAGTGTCCTCTCCAGTCAGGCCTTTTATAGTCACAGTGAAGACTCTTTGTTTTTTGTCATCAGAGATGGAAAACTTTCTTGAATTGTGTTGGTTCGTTTTAATCGCGTAAGAGCAGGAGTTCCAATAGTATCCTTTACACAAGTATTTCACATGGTTTGTGTACTTTGACTCATAGAGACATGGGATAGTGATCGAACCTCCAGCTCTCACTGACACTTGACTGACTGTAGTTATGCTATGAATTCCTGCAACAAGAGCAAACCCAACATTTTAAAAGCCATATTCAATAATAATTATCCATGTTACCTTCTGACATTACCATGTGAAGCATACAATAAAATATTCACAATGATAAAATGATTCTGTCACTGACCTGTGAGTCCGGTCAAAATGAGAAGGAATCCGAGATGAACAGCCATGTCAGAGTGTGAGCGGGCCAACAACATGTACGAACTGATGCTGTACTTCCTTTTTTCCTAAATATAAAATGCACCAGTTCAAATATGGGTCCCTCCTACAGCAAGGAAGTTGCGTTTCATCGGTTAATTGTGTAATATATATATATATAATGATTAGTGCAGTTGGAGAGTACCCTACTCTTACATAATAGCTTTGATGTAGAAAACATGAACTGAAACATTTAAAAAGAAAAAAACAGTACTTCAGGTTTATGGACTGAATTGTGTTAATTTATTTAAAGCATGACAGTAATAACATGAAATGATTATAAACATTAAAAATATATCATGTACCTGTCATTTTAACAATTTAAATCAGACATAGATAATAGGAATTTCCAAAGATACGGAGAGAAACAATACGTATTATGGGTACTTTTTATGGGCAGTAAGCCTCAAAAACAGATAAAGTCAAAGTCCTTTTCAAGTTATATGTGTGACACCAAGCTAACCAGTTCCCTTAAACAACTTCACACAATCACCCTGTTTATTCTTTACATATCTGTGGTTGTATAGCCTTATGATTTAACAAAGAGTATGTCTGACGGAGTAACACAAACCCTGTTTGAGGAACCACAGATAAGACCGATACATTTGGCTGTTTCCAGTTACATTATACAATTTTGTTCCTGTACAGTAAAGTCAACTGTCATAATTTATTGTCCTTCCAGAACATGTCATATATGACATTTTAAAGTATAAAAAGTGTTAGCATATCAAACTAATTAAGGTTAAATATGAGTTTCTGATCATCTTAAAGATGGAAGTAAGAACTAATTAATTAAAGTGAATACAGTTGAAAAACATAAAAGTTATCAATGTTGTTGTTTATGTATGCAGCACAGGGTTAAAAAAAAAGACGAGATGGCTACAGATGAAAAAGGAGAAGAAAGAAGTTACAGCACGACCAAAAAAAGCTGTCTGCTAACAGAGAGATAACGAGATTAACAGACTGACAAACATTTCAATGTTTTGTCGGTGCTTAGCTACAATACAATTAGATTTGTGCTGAGTTACGATATACTTTACTGTAGAATTAAGGGTAAGGTCCGGTGGATACACATGTTTTTAACAGAAGACCAGTCTGTTTGTAAAGGTCACCATGCTCAAAAGCTCTTTTTTTGTAGTTGCATAATTACGTTCTTGTTTTGTAAGGGCCCTGCAAGCATATGCAATAACTCGCTCTAGCCCTCCCTCTTCCTGAGACAACACTGCCCCAATTCCAACATCACTTGCATCTGTATCCAAGAGTACGGTTTACTGGGTTGCAGGATACGCCAACACAGGGTCGTGATCGACTAGCCTTAGTCGGTCAAAGCACTTTGACAGTCCGTCACTTCCATCGAAGACGCCCTTCCCTTTCTCTGTGAGCTGATTGCAAGGGGCGAGCGCATGTCCGCAAAACCTGTTACGAAACGCCTCTAGTAAGAGGGCTAGCCCCAAGAAACCTCTGAACCTCAGTCTGATTTTTTGGAACAGGCCACCCCCTAACTGCTTCTATCTTTGAGAGGGTCTGGCATCGCCCGCCCCTCAGCGATCAATGACATGGCCGAGGTAATTGGATCTGCGTGGAGGAACAAGTTACACTTTGATGTTGTCACTTTAAGATTGTCTGGCCGGAGCTTCTGGAGCAGGGCCATCCAGGCGCGGTCAAATGCTCCTGGAAAAAGTCCGGCCAAAACCAATTAATGTCCATCCAAGTAAACCGAAACAAGTGGTCCACTGCAAGTCTGCGAGAGATCAAGTCCATCAACCTCTGGAAGTACTGGGTGCATTACAAAGACCAAATCCAGGGACATTGAACTCAACAGCCCCTGGGCGGTGTGATGAAGGCAGTCTGCGTGTGGCGAGTCTTTAGGACTCTACTTCCACCTGCCACATAGCCACTCACGCCAAATCCGTGTGGGGAAGACAGCGCAACAAGGGGCCATGACTAAGATATCCAAGGCCATTGTCAATTCTGGAACGAGGGTAGGCATCCCTTTCTAGTACATGCATCTGAGGGTGGGGTGGGCGACTGCCCTCCGGCTCTTTCCTGATCAATCAACACAGAACCGAAGCCGCCCCTTGCTTCTTTTTCACTAGCACCACAGGCGCGTGCCCATGGACTACAGGAAGGACGCAACAATACCATTGTCCAGCATTTGCTTAAATGTCCAGTTACTCTTGCTGCAAGTGGAGGGGAATCCTTCGTGGGTGCATCTTAACAGGCTTGGCATCCCCTGTGTCAATCTGCATGCAAGATCAATGGTAGCTCCTGCCTAAATCATGTCTCCCACGACTAAACACAGAGGTGTTGTGTGCAGTAAACTGTCTGATTGCACTAAGCTCCCAGGGGAAAGCGCCTCTCTTTCCACCCCAAACTGTTTCAACACGCATGTCTACTGTCCACAGACTGATGTACGTCCTCCGCTATCACCGTGCTTCGCACTGCTTCACTTCATCCCCCACCTCAATGTCGGATAGCGTGTCCCACTTCATGACCTTCTTTAATGTTCGCGCTTCATTGTTTACATTGATAACGGCGTTACTGGCAGCAGGGCCCTGTTCAACTTCGCAAACCACTCGTGGCTACCCAATATGTCACAGGTCGGAGGGAGAGGAGGTGGAGGGCTTCAGCATTCCCTTCCGCATAATCCCCCAACGCCGCTCTGGACCTTGACCCAAATCGCATGGCCTCGCCTACGTTTGGTTCAATGGTATATCAGACTGCGCTCAACCACTTGAGGCTTTAATGATGGGTTACAAGATAACCAGGGGAAGATTTGCTTGCCCATATTTGGCAAGTCATTTCCCTAGACTCAACCATCTTTTAACCCAAGCNTTAACAGACTGACAAACATTTCAATGTTTTGTCGGTGCTTAGCTACAATACAATTAGATTTGTGCTGAGTTACGATATACTGTACTGTAGAATTAAGGGTAAGGTCCGGTGGATACACATGTTTTTAACAGAAGACCTGCACTTTAGGATTAAGGACTGAAACATGTTCATTTCTTAAAACAATGCATTAGAAATAAATGCAAACGTTTTTTTAAGGCTGTGTAAAGCACGCACCTTACGGTATATAAAAAAGTGGCGAGATGACACAAACACTGCAAAAATGTGATTAGAAAAGTGATTTTGTTTTAGCCAGAAGAGATACGAAGACGATGGGGATGACAACAGAAACAGGCCGATCCATTAGTGATTTATTGTGTTTGAACAGTTTTTATAACTTTTTTGTAATTTACATATAATTATTCATTTTACATCAAAAATCAGACAACAAACCTCACAATAAAAGTATATATTTAAATATAAAATGTTTTGGTTCCTCCTGCAGCTTCTGACTTTTGGTCATTTTTAAGATTTTTAAACTTTTGTAAATGCATTTGGGAAACCCCTATTGAGCTTAAGAAGGTTCATAAGATGGGTTTTGTTAGCTTGGTGACTTTAAGATGCTTGTGGGAAACTACGCCCGTGTCAGTACTTGTTTGAAATGTTTTGCAGCAGTGTGGAGAAGAATACCTTGAAAAAGAAAGAAAAAACAAATGACAGCAAGCTGCAAATTGTCTAAAAAAAGACTCCAGCGATGGGTACAGATGTAGGGTAGGGGTAACATTCACAGGTTTCTCTGGTGCTAAGCCAACCTGCTGTATGTTACATCATGTTCTTCCGTTTGAATCTGTTGCACAAGTGAAGAAAAAAAAAACATGAGGGAGGAAACATCGAAGCTACGATCAACTTATGCCTTACTAACAGCTCTGTCAGGTTTTACATGAAGCTCTGAGCCAAATGCTAACAATGTGAGAAAGATAAATTACAAATTATTATCAGGAAGGTTTACCTGCTAACATGCTAGAAAGTTGCCAAATAGCACTATCACAGAGACAACTGAGGCTGAGGGCTATTAGCTTTCATGGTGAAATGTGGGGAAAAAGCGGTAAGTGTGTTAGAAAAAGTTAAGGTCTGGGTTTGAATCCCTTAAAATGTACCTTTTGTCCAGTTTGATGCTCTAGTCTATAGTAACCACAGATGAGTATATCACATCAGAGTACATCACATCAACATCTCTATTAGCATCCGACCACTGTGGAAGGAAGAAGAGGCTGCCATGATGAAATCACTTGAAACATTTAACTTTTTATATTTATGATGGAATACAAGTTGGGCCTTTTGGGGTCAAGGGTCACCTTGTCAGTAGGTTTCCTTTGTTTAACATCGCTGTATGTTACTTCCTCTTCAGCGCGATGAAGCTGCAAACCATCAACATGAACACATTTTTTAGAAATCAGGAAACATTTCATAACTATTCTCCCTTTTTAGGGCAAACAGAGGATCAGTGGAATCACCATAAGAGTTTAATACAACCTAATTATATAATAAAAACACATATACTGTGTTAATTCTGTGGATGGTCTTGTTTTGAAATAAAAATAAAAATATTTAGCGGCAGTAATTTTCACACAATGTCTTACTTGGCCTGAAGTCTTTCTCCTTTGCTTAACAGTACTGTATGCTACTTCCTCTTTACCCTGAAGGAGCAGAGAACAGAACATGAACGGTGAATACGAACCAAAAGTTGTAATTGATTTATTTAACCTATTTCTTTGTTTCTGACCTATTGTCTTGTTAAGAAAAACACTCTTAGTAATTATCAAGATATATGTGATAAGTATTAATGTATATATTGAACTCCTGCAGCTGCAAATTGAAAGTAAAATAAAGTTTTATATTATTTGGAATTACTGCAGTGAATATTAGAAAAATGGCTATGATAACACATCTCCTTTCTTGTAAAACAATGTATTGGGAAATGAATGATCATATCTCACCATTATTGTGGCCGGTGAATCTCCTGTGGTCTGCTCTAAAAGTGAATAAATTATAAACTATTTTTACTGACAATAACACACAAATAGTCTGCATGATCGTTAATATATTGATGTTTTACAAACAATTATAATTTCGGCATATACTTACTGTGTCTTTTGAACATTAAGCAGATGAACGAGGCAACCGTTACAATGAAGATCAGCGAGCTCAGCGGGATGATAAAGACCATCAAATTTACTGAAACACTGCAGCAGAAATAAATAAATCAAAGAAAACACAATGCAGATGACAGTTTGCCAACAGTCCAAAATAAAAAACATTATAGGCTTCTCACCTTTGCTGCTCAACCTCAACAGTGGAAAGTCTTTGTTCTGCAGTACTAGAGGTGTGATTCAGAGGTTTGGAGGTGGGTGTGAAGGTGGTGATTTGTCTCGTTGCTGCAACTGTAAATATAATTATGCGTGGATATAACTACTGGAGCAAAAACACAATAATAAATGCTAATATTTAATCCAGATTGAATTAAACATTCTTAAATTAATTTACTTGACAAATATTTACAATTTTATATTTACTTTTAGTACTTACTAGTTGTAGGTTTTTCAGTAACAGTTATGTGCACTGGCATCTGTAAGTCTCCTTGAACGCACAGATACCAGCCGCTGCTCTCTGTCCTCAGTCCTCTCAGAGTCACAGTGAGAACACCAGGGCTGAGTGCACTGATCTCGACTCTTGTTCCATCTATTAATCCAGACTTTTTCACACAGCAGCCGCCGAACCTGCACCACTTCCTTTCTCCAGAGTTTTGATAGTGACACTTGATGTTTATGCTATCTCCTTTAAATCCTGTAATCTCTTGCTGATCCACGTAGAGATTGGGTGTACCTTGATGTAGAACATAATTCATTAAAACTTGTGAGCAGCTTGGTTAGCACATGCTGCTGATGTTTCAAATATGTTTGGCATATATTTATATCTGGTGAATACATTATTTGAGAAAATGAGGTCATTGTAATATTAAAGTGTTGATATTTCACAAAAGATTTGAAAAGGCGTAATTGGGCTCTTACCTCCAGTGACTGACAGGTGGAAATACTCTTTGAGATCTGCTCCTTCATTAATCTCCACAGCACACCAGTAATATTCAGTGTCCTTATCAGTCAGGTCATTTATAGTCACAGTGAAGACTCTTTGTTTTTTGTCATCAGAGATCGAAAACTTTCCTGAACTGCTTGGTTTGTTTGTTTTAACTTCATAAGAGCAGGAGGCCCAAAGATATCCCTTACACATGTATTTCACATGGTTTATATGTTTCGAGTCATAGAGACATGGGACAGTGATCGAACCTCCAGCTCTCACTGACACTTTACCGACGGTAGTTATGCCATGAATTCCTGGAACAAGAGCAAATTATTTTAAATGTTTTCTCTGCATATTTTAGATGTTAATAGCAGTTTTAAATATTAGGTCACTTTTGTCGTAACTATAAATGAAAGACAAAAGTGGAGAATGTTAGTTTAATTGACATTTTTCTTAATCATCATCTTCTGAACGTTAAAAGGATATGATGCAATTTTTACACATTTTAAATTATTTCTGTCACTCACCTGTAAGTCCAGTCAAAATGAGAAGGAAGCTGAGGTGAACAGCCATGTCCGTGTGTGTGAGCTAAAAAAGAAAAATGATGATGGTCTACTTCCTTATTTTCTAAATATGAAAACGCAGCAGTTCAAATCTGGGTACCTCCTACAGTGAATACATTGAATACATTGAAATGATATGCACCTTGGTCCTTTTAGAGTTATATGTATACAAAACAGCAAGCTCACCAGAGCACTTAAAATACTTTACATATTCAACCTTTTTATACTTTACATATCTGTGGTTTTATAGCCTTGTGGTGCAAGAAAGTGGATGTCTGACTGAGTACAAAATTAACCCTTTTGAGCAACCACAAGGCTAGAAAACCACGACATATGACATATGTGACATAAGAGACGATAATTGAGTTAGATTCTAATGGGTGGTTGCTCGAAAAGCTAAATATAACTAAATGTTCTGAGATTAAAGCATGAATACAAATATAGTAAAATATCTGCATAGTTGTCAATGTTTGTGTATGAAAGAGAGGGTTAAAGAAAGGTGAGACAACTAGTGATGCAAAGGAGAAGTAATTTCTGCACAACCAAATGTTAAAAGCAGACGATGACGTGTAACACTCTCGTCTACTAAAAATAGCTGTCTGCTCGCAGAGACATAAGAAGATTAACAGACAGACAAACATTTTCATTTTCTGTTAGTGCTGAGCCAACGTTGTACGTGACATCATCATCTTCTGCTTCAACCTGGAGAACAGAAGCAAAATTACGATTAGAAACTCAGTCAACCAGACAAGTTGAAAGTGTTAACATTTGACGAATAACCATTTTGAAATATTCAAACAAAATGGATGGAAATGACTAAAAGAGAAGTGAGAAACATTTTTTTATATATATAAAAAGGGAAAAAAGTGTTTACATTCTGTTGCTTTATGGGAATCACGGAGCTGTACGTCACGTCCACATCACTTCCAGCATATGACCTCTGGACAGGGGACAGCTATGAAACAATAAATAAAACACTTTCCATCAACTATTCTTTTTTTAATCTGCACTTGTCATGGTTTAAGGGCCAAACAATTCACAACAAAACGACATGACACCCTCTTTTTACACTATTAAAATGCAACTATTGTAATGGCATAATGTTTAGTGTTGGTGTTACTTGATGTTTTCGTCATGATTCCAATATGTTACGTCCTCTTCAGCCTGTTTTGAAGAAGGAAGTGTTTTTCAAAACCTATACTCTCAAAAACTATACTCTTCTGGAAATGTACTGCATTGTGTGAGATATTACCTGGCTTGAAGACTTTCTCTTGGGCCTAACATTGCAGTAGATGACTTCCTCCTCAGCCTGTGTTGAAGGAGCAAGGCTAATGTCAGAGGACGTTCTCAAATCCTGCTCTATACAGTTTCAAAAAGCATAAAATGAAACATATCTACAGTTTATTAAATTAGAATCTGCTACAACATGCATTTGCAGTGCACTCAAAAGTAACAGTATTTTCTTTTTAAAATGTTACGAACTGGTTTACTTTTACAATTATATTGAAATCACTGAAGCAAAAATGACCGTTAATGCACTTTTATCTCTCACTGTAAATCTTTATAGCCTAATACATAATAATTCATGGTATTTATTTAGCGCTTTACATTACATTATTAAATAAGACATGTAATACATTTCATACTGTGGACAATACCCACAGGAGCCATTTGAAATAAATACATAAGATAAAAATACCATGCATTCATTGAGAATTGTATTTATATCTTGCTGGTGTTGCATCTGATGATTCTGCTTTATTCCAGTCTAAAAGTGAAACAGAAAATGAACAGTGCACTTCAATCGAAACTCAAAGGAAATATATTTTAAAAATAGAAAAGTATTTGTCAAGAATAGGATGTTCTTCAGACTTTGACTTACTGTGTTTTTTCAACATGAACCAGATAAGCAAAGCCACAATTACAACGGAGATCAGCAAAATCAGACTGATGACGAGGCTCTCTATGTCAAATGAAGCCCTGCGGAATACATGTAAGCGCACACAACACCAATTATTTGAAATACAGTATTATACCCTGTTTTAGTTTCAACATATTGGTCTCAGATATAAATAATGTATTTAGAAAGGCAAAGAGTGCCTTACAATGAGTTTAATTTGACCACCAAATGGCCATGGCTTTTTGAATACTGCATGTAAATGCAAAGACTGACCTGTACTGTTCATTCTTGACTGTGGTAGCTTTGTCTGGGTGGATGTGATTGAGAGTGGTTGGAAGTCTTGTTGTTGGAAGTGTGGCTATAATTCATGACAGAACAATGATTAGTAAAGATATGGCAGTATACGTATCCTTCTAAGGATAGGGTTAGGGTTAGGGTTAGGCATTTGCAAATGGCTGTACTTGGCATACATTGTATACTTACGAGTGGGTCTGTCAGTAACTGTGACAAACTGGCATCTGTAAGTCTCCTTTAACGCACAAATACCAGCCACTGCTCTCTGTCCTCATCGCCACAGTGAAAACAGAGTGCAACCTCACATTGATGGAGACTCTTGTTCCATCTATTGATCCAGACCGTGTCACACAGGAGCGGCCCAGCTTGCACCACTTCCTTTCTCCAGAGTTTTGATAGTAACACTTTGTGTTTATATTATCTCCTTTGAATCCTGTAATCTCCTGATGATCCACATAGAGATGTGGTCTACCTTAAGGGAGAACACATTCAATATAGATTTATAGGTAGCCTAATTACTTGATATACAATAGATTTGTAGATTGACATGTTTCGCATCTACAGAAGTTACATCTGGTAGAGAACAAGACCTTATGATTGTATCTCACTACTTTTAATAAAACATTTTTGTTGCAGAATTACGACCCTTCTTAGGGATTTTCTACCATAATTGACTTTGAGAGCTCATGCACACGTTCAATATCCTGATTGTTCAGGAGGATAAAGATCGAAGGACTTTGAGATTAACAATAAAGAAAAGCAATCTCTTTTATCCATCTCATTGTAAAATATCAGGATTAAGGATTTAAAATGTGCTGAAAGATGCTTTAAGGTCTCTTACCTGTGACTGACAGGTGAAATGTGTCCCCAACATCTGCCCCTCCATCAATCTCCACAGCACACCAGTAATAATCAATATCCTTATTTTTCAGATCATTTATGGTCGCAGTGAAGATTTTTAGGATTTTATCATCAGATTGAAAACTTTCTTGAGCTACGTTGTGAATCAGTCCGGACTTTAGTACAGCAAGACAACCAAGATCCTCCTTTACATAAATATTTAACTTGATTTCTATGTTGCAGGTCATAGAGACATGGGATAGTGATGGAATGTCTCCTTTCACTGACACTTCACTGATTTGAGTAATGGTACGAATTCCTGCATCAAGAATACATACAGCCTTTTAACTGATATATAAGCATTCACATTAAGTTTTGACATACTAAATTGTATTTGTATGAAATAAAACATTGTGACCCAACAAACGCCTGCCTTTTTGTGTCATCTACTGACATGCGAATTGGCTCAACCATTTTTAAAATGACCAGATACTGACCGGTGAGTCCAGCGAGGATGAGAAGAAGTCTGAGGTGAACAGCCATGTCGGTGAGTGAGCAGTCAGACAACACACACAGGACCCAAGGCAGCGACAAGCATTTATATTTCCTAATCTTTTATATGCAACTCTGTTACAATCGTTCTTATTTTTAAGTGAGTCCCTCACATAAGGTGTATGTAAAGCATTATTATGCTTTACATGGTGTCCACTGATGAAGATATTCTTCAATTAGAAGATGTGGTTGAGTAAAACCCGTTTCCTCTGACACAACATGTCTTGCAAACTAAAGCCTGGAAACGGTTTGTGAGAATTAAAATGGATGAATTGGAAACTGTCTTTTTTCAAAGCAGCCATTTTCAGCCCCAGCTAGAATGCAGTACCCAGCAACCTGTTTCTCAACCTGTTGTCTGTGTGATTATTATGACTTAGTTATTCTATCTCCCATTGTAAAGTGTCCATGGGTTTCTTGAAAGGCGCTATAAAAATCTAAATTATTATTATTATTATTTCGACTTGAAAAGTGCAGATTGTAACATTAGTAAAGGTTATTTTCATGTATCCAAAAAGGCAATGACTGTGTTACAGTGAGGTAGCATGCACAATACCAGGAAGCAGGAAGCAGCTCAATTTAATTCAGCCATTATTCATTTTACCTTACAATACAAACTGAAAAGTAAACTGAAAAGCAACTCTATAAAAGGGAAGCTTTGAACATTACAAGATATTAACTGATTTGACACTTTAGGTGGCAGTATTGTGCTATTTTAACATTTCCAGTGGTTTTATACCATCAGGATGTCTGATGGCAGCACATAAGCAGTGGTTGGTATTTCAAGACAATATAATATTGAATATTATTAATATAGTACAGTTAGAAAAATGTACACAATGAAATTTGAAACAAGGACAGGAGATTACATCATATTAAATATAATTCCAATCTTTGTAAATGCACTTTGAGTCAAGACGACTTGCTATTGTGTGCATTAGGCCTAACAAATAATACTGTTAACATGTTGACAACAGTTTTGTCAAACACAGTGAAATGCTTCTTAGTAATGTTAGCAGAAGAGGTAAAGTAAGGCCATGGTTTAAACAAGGGGAAGAAATAGAGAGGTGACTTCACAGCTTACATAATAACATCAGACAACACATGGTGACGCCAGTTCTCCAAATAATACCAATAACCAGACTAGTTTACAAGATAAATAAACAAGCAGTGGTTAAATATGCTAAACCGTGCTGGAGCTAAGCCAATGTGCTGTATATGACGTTCTCATCATTCGCTTCAACCTGTTGAAAAGAAAGAAATGAAAAAAGAATGAAAACAATTAAAGAAAAACAAAAAAATATGTTTTTGCCTTAAATCCAGTGAGACTAAGAAATAGATTAATGAATAAAAACAGTAAGTGACAGTCAGTGTGAAACTTTCTTAATAGTTACCTTTGGTACATGTTGCTGCTTCATGGGGATCACAGAACTATATACCACGTCCACCGTACTCTCTGCAGGTGAATTCTGTGTGAGGAAGGTGACACAGTTATAAAAGATAGGAGTGTGCAACTTACGTTTTTGATTAATCACAAATATTTGTATTTGTTTTTAGTTGGGAATGGTAAAGTAAGACACAGTAGATGTACCAAGTGTATCAATGAGCCTTTTAGTATTTTACTTGACGCACTGGTTGGATCATAGAGATGCTCAACATGATTATGAATATGAAATACCTGTATGCCCTGTAGAATATGCAGTACAGTTAAAGAAAGTGATAGTACATTATATGAAAATGTAACATCTTGATATTCTGCAGTGATGGATTACCTGGCTTGAAGTGCTTCTCTTGTGCGTAACAGTACTGAATGTTATTTCCTCTTCGGTCTGTGTTAAAGGAGAGGGAAAAGAATACTTCAAATGAAATGTTCAGAAATGCAATATCAACTTTGTGCAACCAAGTTTCAACCAAATTAACTAAAATCTCGGTACATTAAAGTAAAAATAAAAGTCATGATAAAAACGATTACCCTATTTGGGATACTGTTGAGTTAGATCTTTTCAAATGGTTATAATATTCTGTATTTAATTTCATAAACATATTAGTTGTGTATCTGCAATTGTAAAAGGTCTGCCCACTGAACTTGTGCAAAGGTAAAGTATGTTCTCTGAAGACGTTACATTGCATTTTAACCACAATTGAGTACTCCTAAGTTTCGACTTACTGCAGTTCCTTATTGCGTTCTTTGGAAAACATTTTGAAATAAAAAAAGGTGTTCTTACCGCTGTCACGGCCGATGCCGCTTCTTTTGTCTGCTCTAAACATGACACAAGAAACACTTCTGTTACTCTCAAGGCACACTAGTCTATATTACAAAAATAAAAGCACAAACATATTTGATATGACTTGGAATAATCAAAGATAAAAAAATACTTACTGTGTCTTTTCAACATAAACCAGGTGAACACGGTCACCAGTACAATGAAGATCAACAAGCTCAAAGAGATGATGTAGGGCTTCAGATAATCTGACCTGAAGCAGGAGTAAATCAACAAATGCAAACAATGAAAAGTAATTGGATATTTTACTCCTAGAATGGCAAATTCTCAATATCAAAGCCTTCTCACTTTTCCCCCTGAGCATTGGAATCATTCTTATCTGAAAAAAACCAAAGGTGAGATTCACATGCTCACTACTGGATGATATGGTTAAAATGCTTGTTGCTGAAAACTATCCAAAAAATATAATAATAATAAGTAGAGTAAAATAGCAGTTCCACAAACAAATAGACACACTTACACTGAACAAAAATATAAACGCAACACTTTTGTTTTTGCTCCCATTTTTCATGAGATGAACTCAAAGATCTAAAACATTTTCTACAAACACAAAATAACCATTTCTTTCAAATATTGTTCACAAATCTGAAAAAATCTGTAATAGTGAGCACTTCTGCAGTTTTGCTNATAATCCATCCCACCTCACAGGTGAGGCATATCAAGATGCTGATTAGACAGCATGATTATTGCACAGGTGTGCCTTAGGCTGGCCACAATAAAAGGCCACTCTGAAACGTGCATTTTTTCTTTATTGGGGGGGTCTGGGGGGGTCCGAAAACCAGTCAGTATCGGTTGTGAGGGTTAGGATTAGGGTAATGTTGTGAATCGAGTGGCCCATGGTGGTGGTGTGGTTATGGTATGGGCAGGCCTATGTTATGGACGATGAACACAGGCCACTCGATTCACAACATTACCCTAACCCTAACCCTAACCCTAATCCTAACCCTCACACCAGATACTGACTGGTTTTCGGACCCCCCCGGACCCCCCCGGACCC